TGATCCCTTTTTCCTGTGCTGTTCCTTGCTGGAAACATTTCATTCCCCACAAGGCAGATCCCAAGAGACCCAAAATCCCCAGGAATTCTGGAAGTTCCAGCTCCCTTTGGTTTCCAGGAGAAATGAATGGGGAGCAGAACTGGTGGTCTGTAAGATCAGACACAAAGTGTGTTCTCTGTTTGTTGTCAGGAAAATTTCTGTCACCCTGCCCCGAGCCACTGAGCTCAGCAATATTTAGGACTTTGTGCTTGTCAGAGATTAAAAATTGAATTTCTCCAGTGAAAACTTTTGACTTTCAGGGAAAGGATGCCTGAAGTTGTGGTTCATGGAATTATTGAATATCTTGAACTGGAAGGGACCTACAGTGATTTTTAATTAATTTACCTTTTAAATTTTAATTTAATAATTAATTTAATTAACTTACTTTTAGTTTATTAATCACTTTAATAAATTTAATTTTATTAATTTAATAGTTATTAATTTAAATTATTAAATTAAGTGATTAACAAATTATAAAATTACTAATTAACCAATAAATTAGTGTTTTATTATTTTTATTAATTTATTTATCTTATTGTTTATATATTATATATTAATATATGTTAATATATAATATATTTATATATATTCTATATTAACATATATATAATATTATTATATATATAATTATATATATATTATATATATTATATATATTATTATTATATATATATTTATATATTATATTATATATTTATACATATTAAATATATATTTATATTGAATATATGAATATATATGAATATATAATATAAATATATAAAAATATAATATATATAATATTAGATATAATGTATAAATATATAATACATAATATATATAATACATTATAATAATAATGTATAATAATTATTATAATAATGTAATGTAATATATAAAAATATAATATATATTAGATATTAGATATAATATATAAATATATAATACATAATATATAATACATTATAATATATAATATCTATAATATATAATACATTATAATAATGTATTATTATAATAATGTAATAATTATTATAATAATATAATGTAATATTTAATATAATATATTATGTATTATATATAATATATATAATATAAATATATATTATATTTTTTCTATTATTTCTATTATTATATATTATATATTTTTTTATTTTATTTATTAATTTTCATTACTTTTTATTCATTTCAATAATTAACAACCAGCTAAATCCATACACAACACCTCCTAACACCACCTAAAAACAATACCACACGTACAATAACACCCCCATGCACCTCCAAACCCAGCTGGCTGTCCCTGTGTCCCCTGCAGGTCACCTGCAGGACGTGCAACTACAAATCCAACACCGTGGAGCCCTTCTGGGACCTTTCCCTGGAATTCCCGGAGCGCTACCATTCCCTGGAGAAAGGCATCGTGCCCCTGCCCCAGGCTGAGTGCTTGCTGACCGAAATGTTGGCCAAATTCACTGAGACAGAAGCCCTGGAGGGGAGGATCTATGCCTGTGACCAGTGCAACAGTGAGTGCCACTTCCTCCCCCTTTTTGAAGCACAGAGCAGCAGGGAAAATAAAATATCGAATATTTGTGAGCTGGAATTCACCTGCTGGAACTGCTGCAGCCCAGGATATCTTTGGCTCGATGTTTCCTGGTGTTTTTCCAGCAGGAACAGCTCAGAGGTGACAAATGTTTGTGTGATGAGGAGAAGGGAAAGTTTGAATCTCACAGAACTTCTGGAGGAATTCAGAAATATTTATTCCTGTGGCCATCCCCGTGCTGGAAAGAGAAAAAAAAGAAAAAGAGTTTACCTTGTGCTGGTTTTTCTCCTGGGGGAATTAACAGAATGCTGATAATCTTTGCCTTGGGGGTTTTTTGGGGGGGTTTTTTTGACAGGCAAACGGCGAAAATCTTCTCCCAAACCTCTTGTTCTGAGTGAAGCTAAAAAGCAGTTGCTGATCTACAGACTACCTCAGGTCCTCCGGCTGCACCTTAAACGCTTCAGGTGAGGCACTGGGCCCTGGATTTTTGGGGGAAAAAGTGACCAAAAGTGGGCCTTTAATTTCCCTCAACCCCTGCTGAAAGCAGCTGTGTCATTTCTGAGCCATCAGGTTGGTGAGAGCCCCTCCCATTACCCGTTTGCAGGGCGTTTTTCTGCCACAATTTAATATTTTGTGCATATTAATCCTTAATTTCCTCGGGTTTGACTCGAGTTTGCAGGCAGCTTGGAAGGAGAAATAAGCTGATGAAAGATTTGGTGAAGGTGGGAGATTGAGAGAATTAAATTCCTCAAATTACCTGTTGAATAGAAAGTAGAGAAAGCTGAAAATGTTAGGACAAGTTTCTAAAGTGGTTAGGCTGGGTTTGGGGGGGTTATTGGTAGAACTGAGGGTTTTTAAAGGTGGTCAGAGGATAAATCTGGCCCCAGAATGCCCCACCTAAAACAAAAAATATCAATGCCATGGGGAGACCCCACCTAAAATAAAAACCTTCAGTGTCAAGAAACCCCATCTATAAAAATCCTCAGTGGTAGAAGGAGACCTTAAATCTAAATCTAAAATAAAAATTATCAATGAAAGAAGGAGACCCCACCTAAAATAAAAACCTTAAATGGCAGAGGGAGATCTACCTAAAATAAAAACTCTCAGTGGCAGAGAGAGACCCCAGCTGAAACAAAAATCATCGATGGTAGGAAAAGACTGCACCTAAAGCAAAAACCCTCAGTGGCAGAGGGAGACCCCACCTAAAATAAAAATAATTGATGGTAGGAAGAGACCCCACTAAAATAAAAACCTGAAATGGCAGGGGGAGACCCCACTAAAATAAAAATCATTGATGGCAGGAAGAGACCCCACCTAAAATAAAAACCTTCAGTGGAAGGGGAGACCCCACCTAAAATAAAAACCTTCAGTGGCAGAGAGAGACCCCACTAAAATAAAAAACTTAAATGACAGGGGGAGACCCCACTAAAATAAAAATCATTGATGGTAGGAAGAGACCCCCACCTAAAATAAAAATCATTGATGGTAGGAAGAAACCCCATCTATAATAAAATCCCTCAGTGGCAGGGGGAGATCCCACCTAAAATAAAAACCTTAAATAGCAGAGGGAATAAAATTATTCAATGGCAGAGGAAGACCCTACCTAAAATAACAACCCTTAGTGACAGAGGGAGACTCCACCTAAAATAAAAATCATCGATGGTAGGAAGAGACCCCACTTGAAATAAAAATCATTGATGGTAGGAAGAGACCCCACCTAAAATAAAAATCATTGATGGTAGGAAGAGACCCCACCTAAAATAAAAATCATTGATGGTAGGAAGAGATCCCACCTAAAATACAAATCATTCATGGTAGGAAGAGACCCCACCTAAAATACAAATCATCCATGGTAGGAAGAGACCCTACCTAAAATAAAAATCATCCATGGTAGAAAGAGACCCTACCTAAAATAAAAATCATCCATGGTAGGAAGAGACCCCACCTAAAATAAAAATCATTGATGGTAGGAAAAGACCCCACCTAAAATAAAAATCATCCATGGTAGGAAGAGACCCCACCTAAAATAAAAATCATCCATGGTAGGAAGAGACCCCACCTAAAATAAAAATCAGTGATGGTAGGAAGAGACCCCACCTAAAATACAAATCATTCATGGTAGGAAGAGACCCCACCTAAAATAAAAATCATCCATGGTAGGAAGAGACCCTACCTAAAATAAAAATCATCCATGGTAGGAAGAGACCCCACCTAAAATACAAATCATTCATGGTAAGAAGAGATTCCACCTAAAATAAAAATCATCCATGGTAGGAAGAGACCCTACCTAAAATAAAAATCATCCATGGTAGGAAGAGACCCCACCTAAAATGAAAGCCCTTTGGTGTTAGGGGGAGCCCCCAGCTGAAGGCCTCGATGTCAGGAGAGCCCACCACAGCCAAGGCCATGAGCAGCAGCAGGAGCTGCAGGGTTGGGGGAGGTGTCTGCTGGGGATTTTGGGGTGAAAAGCCAGGATCCTGTGAGCAGCCCTGAGTGTGGGATTTGTGTTGGCAGGTGGTCTGAGCGCAATCACCGCGAGAAGATCGGGGTCCATGTCCTCTTTGAGCAGGTATTAAACATGGAACCTTACTGCTGCAGGGACTCTCTGCCCTCCCTTGCCACTGAGACCTTTGTGTATGACCTCTCGGCTGTGGTGATGCATCACGGCAAGGGGTTTGGCTCAGGACACTACACAGCCTATTGCTACAACACGGAGGGAGGTGCGTGTGCTGGGGGCGTGGGGCAAATCCCATCCCCATCCTCTTCCTCCCCTCGGCATTCCTTGCATTTCCCTCTCCTGGAATCCTTCCCCAGGATTCCATTTCCTTAGGATCCGCTCCTTGCCCTTCAGTGGTTTGTTTCTCCCTATCCCTTCCCCATATTCCTATATTTTTACTATGCTTTTTTTATTTATTGATTTTTATTTATTGATTTTTATTTATTTTTATTTCTTTTTGTTAATTTTTATTTTTATTTATTTTTATTTTTTTTATTATTATTTATTTTTGTTCATTTTTATTTATTTTTATCTTTATTTATATCTTTATTTATATTTATATTCATTTTTATTTATATTTTTATTTATTTATATTTATATTCATTTTTATTTATTCATATTTATTTATATTTATTTTCATTTTTATTTCTTTTTATTTATCTTTATATTTTTATTCATTTTTATTCTTATTTATTTATATTTATTTTTATTTATTTTTATTTTCTTTATTTTTATTTTATTAATTATTTATTTTTTTATTTTTATTTCCTTTTATTTTTGTTAATTTTTATTTTTATTTATTTTTATTTATTTTTAGTATCTATTTTTGTCCTTTTATTTTTGTTAATTTTTATTTTTATTTATTTTTATTTATTTTTAGTATCTATTTTTGTTCATTTTTATTTATTTTTAATTTACTTTTAATTATTTATTTTATTTATTTATATTTATTTTTGTTAATTTTTTTGTTTATTTTATTTATTTATAATTTATTTTTAATTATTTATTTTATTTATTTTTATTTTATTTTTATTTCCTTTTATTTATTTTTGTTCATTTTTATTTTTCTTTTAATTATTTTTAGTATTTAATTTTTAATTTAATTTAATTTTTATTTATTTAAAATTTATTTTTAATTATTTATTTTATTTATTTTTATTTATTTTTATTTATTTTTGTTCATTTTTATTTATTTTTAATTATTTATTTTATTTATTTATATTTATTTATATTTATTTTTGTTCATTTTTATTTATTTTATTAATTTTTATTTTTTTAATTTTTATTTATTTATAATTATCTATTTTATTTATTTATATTTATTTATATTTATTTTTGTTCATTTTTATTTATTGTTTTGGTCAGGGATTTTTTTCCCTGGGCAATGTGTGAATTTTTCATCCTGCCAGGCAGAGCTGCTGCAGCTGGGTTTGCTCAGGATCCTCGGGATTGAGGAGATGAACAGAAAGTGTTTTGAGGCTGGGAAAAAACAGGAACTATTCATGAATAACATCCGCAGGGGGCTGGGAGATCCCAGCAGCTGGATCAGGATGGGCTCTGCCTTCCTGCCTGGCCCCAGGGAATTGCTGGCTGCCTAATTGAGTTCTTGGGCTGATTAAATGAAGAATTGATATTTCTAAAGCACAAAAAAAAAATACATATATATTAAAAAAATGATATTAAAACCATTTTCCAGGTTAGAGGAAAAGACAGAGGTTCCTTTTCTCCTGTGGATGTTTCCTGTGAGCAGTTCCAGAATCCAAAGGGATCCTGCCTCAGCTAAGAGCTTTTTTTTCCCTTTTTTCCCAGGTTTTTGGGTGCACTGCAATGACTCCAAACTGAATGTATGTAGCGTGGAGGAGGTGTGCAAGACCCAGGCCTACATCCTCTTCTACACTCAGAGAACGCTGCAGGACAAAGCTGGAATCCCAGAAAAACAACTCCGAGCTCAGGTGTTTGCCACCCAAAACCAGTGACAAGGACACAAGACTGACATTCCCATGAGGGGAAAACACTGCCAGCTTCTTTTGGGAACTTCTGGTGTTCATCTTCCCCTTCTTTGTGGGGAAAACTGCAGGAATGGGATCGGAACAGGGATGGGATCAGAGTGGGAATGGGATCAGGGCAGGGATGGGATCAGGGCAGGAATGGGATCAGGGCAGGAATGGGATCAGAGTGGGAATGGGATCAGGGTAGGGATGGGATCAGGGTAGGGATGGGATCAGGGCAGGGATGGGATGGGAGCAGGACTGGGATCAGGGCAGGGATGGGATCAGGGCAGGGATGGGATCAGAACAAGGATGGGATAGACCAGGAACAAGATTGGGGCAGTGATGGGATGGGAGCAGGGATGGGATCAGGGCAGGAATGGGATGGGAGCAGTGATGGGATCAGGGCAGGAATGGGATCAGGGCAGGGATGGGATGGGAGCAGTGATGGGATCAGGGCAGGGATGGGATGGGAGCAGGACTGGGATCAGGGCAGGAATGGGATGGGAGCAGGACTGGGATCAGGGCAGGAATGGGATCAGGGCAGGAAGGGATGGGAGCAGGACTGGGATCAGAGCAGGGATGGGATGGGAGCAGTGATGGGATCAGGGCAGGAATCGGATCAGAGCAGGAATGGGATCAGGGCAGGGATGGGATGGGAGCAGGACTGGGATCAGAGCAGGACTGGGATCAGAGCAGGACTGGGATCAGAGCAGGGATGGGATGGGAGCAGGGATGGGATCAGGGCAGGGATGGGATGGGAGCAGGACTGGGATGAGAGCAGGAATGGGATCAGGGCAGGAATGGGATCAGGGCAGGAATAGGATCAGAGCAGGAAGGGATGGAAGCAGGACTGGGATCAGAGCAGGATGGGATGGGAGCAGGACTGGGATCAGGGCAGGATGTTTGGAAAACCACCTGGAGCTGGGCAGTTCTGATTTTGGGCACAATCTTGGGTTCCAAGTGTCTTTTTGGCTCCAAAAACCCAAAATGATGAAGTTTGATGCTGCTCATTCCTCCCCTATCAAAGAGGAATGAGCACAAGCAGGAAACAGGAGAATCCCCCTGGATCAACACCCTTCAATCCCTAAAAATCCTGAGCCAGCTCCAAGAGGAACAGGTACAGTACCCTTGAGTGGCCTGGTGAATCCCAATCCCTGGGAAGCTCCCAGAGCTGTTCCTGCTGGGAAAATGTTTCAATTCTTCTCAATTCCTCCCTCTGCTGCCCCTGGGACACCAATTTCTGTGCCCTGGCTGAAACTGCCACCGGGGCTGGGCCACATTCCAGGATTTTCTGGGAGCTGAACTCAGCTGGCAGCTAAATTCCCTCAAAAATGGGATTTTCATGGAGTTCTGCTGTGGAGAAAATTCGGTTTAACCCCCCCCAAAATCGGTTTTATCCCCCAAAAATGGGTTTTAACACCTATAAAGTGGGTTTTAACACACAAAAATGTGTTTAACCTACCTAAAGGAGTTTTAACACCCAAAAAAAATGGGGTTTAACACCCAAAAAAACCCTCAGGAATGTCCCTGAGTGCTGTGGCAGCAGAAGGTGGAATTTTTGGAAAGTTTGGAATACAAAATCCCCCTTTTTTTTTATTTTTTGGTACAAACTTGGCTGTTTTTCCTCAGGGGAACAGGGTTTGGGGTGAAAAATCAGTGAAAAATGTCATTTCTTGAGGTTGGCACTGGGATGGTGCCACCCTTGGAGGTCTCAATTCCTGCAGGGCCACCCCGAGGGGAGGAATGTGAAATCCCAAATTCCACGTGGAGTTGGAAAAGCTACAAAATCAAAAAGTCTGTATCTGAAATCAGCCTGATTTTGTAATTTTTGGGGAAAACAAAGCCTTAGCTGAATTATTTCCAGGCACTTCTCAGCCTACAGTTGCACCTCAGGTGTGGTTTTTGTCATTTTGGGGCTTGGCTGTTCACATTTCACCTTTTAATTTGAATATTAGATCTGCTGTCTGTTAATCTGGGTTATTTTTATTAAAATAATTAAAAATATTAGGGTTTTTTTTTTTTAAAAAAAAAAAAAAAAAAGAAGTTTTCAGGCAAGGAAATTCTCCAAGTGTTTCTCCTCCTCCCTTTTTGCTCCTTTTGTCTCATCAGATAAACACAAGCTGCCAATCTTTGGGAAAAGCTCCCAAATCCCACTTTTTCCTGGGGAATTTGAACCTCCTGTCCTTGGGCAAAGTGAGCACAGCAAGCAAAAAACTTGGATTATATCAAAGAAAAATTCCCATTTTCTGCCCAAGATGCTGCTTTTTGAGCCTAAAAGAAATGTCATTTTGAACAATTAAATATCATTTTGGGGTTCATGTTCTGTTATTTTATATTTTTTTTTGGAGATCAGGCAGTTTGCAGCAGTGCTGATAAAAAAAGTTTTGCTTCCCTAAACGTAGCAGGATCTGGAAGGATTCCTTAGGAACAGCTTGGGGAAGGAATATTTGAAGAAATCAAATTAATCTCAATAAAACAGGAGATCCAAGGGATAGGAAAATGAGCTCAGCCAGGGAAAAATTGATATTCCTGAAAGAATTAAAAATATTTTTGCTTCATGGATTAATTCAGGAGCAAAACTGGTTCTGGGGAAGAGAGAAAACAAAAATGAGAAAGTAAAAATTAAAATTAAAAGTGTCAGAGTGGCATCTCTGAGCTGAAATTGGCCCTGATAGGGAAGGAATTTATTAAATTTACCTTTCCCAGCACCGTGAGCTTCCTGGGATATTCAACTTTTCCTTGGAAGTGACAGCATTTGGCATTTTTGGTGCTGTTTGGTTTCAATTTGGCTGCTGCAGGGTTGGGATGAGCAGAGCCCGAGGTCCCCTCTGTGTTTTGGGGTGTTCTGGATTTTTCTGGATTTTCCTAGGGGGTTTTAATTGGATTTTTCAGCAGTTTTAAATCAGATTTTCCTAGTTTGGTTTGGGTTTTTTTTCCCCCCAGCAATATTAAATCAGATTTTTCTGGGTTTTTCCAGCCATTCTAAATCAGATTTTTCTAGATTTGTGGGGTTTTTTTTTCCCCAGCAATATTAAATCAGATTTTTCTGGGTTTTTTCAGCAGTTTAAAATCTGATTTTTCAGGATTTTCCAGCCATTTTAAGTCAGAACAGCCTCGAGTTTCTGCTCCAAGCTCATTCCTGATGTCACTTCCAGTGCCAGGCCTGGAGCATCCTCAAGGACAGCAGCAAGTGCCAAGAGAATCCAATTAATCAATTAATTAGGGGCTGTAAATGAAGGGCCTTGAGGGGCCTGAGGCTGATCCTTGTGGGTCCCTTCCAGCTCGGGATATTCCCAAATTCCTGACTATTCCTGGCTATTCCTGACTATTCCTGGCTATTCCTGACTATTCCTGACTATTCCTGACTATTCCTGGCTGTTCCTGACTATTCCTGGCTATTCCTGGCTATTCCTGACTATTCCTGGCTATTCCTGGCTATTCCTGACTATTCCTGACAATTCCTGACTATTCCTGACTATTCCTGGCTATTCCTGACTATTCCTGACAATTCCTGACTATTCCTGGCTATTCCTGACTATTCCCAACGATTCCCGACTATTCCTGGCTATTCCTGGCTATTTCTGACTATTCCTGACAATTCCTGGCTATTCCTGGCTATTCCTGGCTATTCCTGACTATTCCTGACAATTCCTGGCTATTCCTGACTATTCCTGGCTATTCCTGACAATTCCTGGCTATTCCTGGCTATTCCTGGCTATTCCTGACAATTCCTGGCTATTCCTGACTATTCCTGGCTATTCCTGACTATTCCTGACTATTCCTGACTATTCCTGGCTATTCCTGGATATTCCTGACTATTCCTGGCTATTCCTGACTATTCCTGGCTATTCCTGGATATTCCTGACTATTCCTGGCTATTCCTGGCTATTCCTGACTATTCCTGACTATTCCTGGCTATTCCTGACAATTCCTGACTATTCCTGGCTATTCCTGGCTATTCCTGACTATTCCTGGCTATTCCTGACATTCCTGGCTCCTCAGCAGTTGCATTTGTTCCGAATGGCGCCCGGATCCGCGGCAGTGAGAGCGGAGCTGAGTCTGGAGTGTCGGGATCCGTTCAGGAGAGGGATGAATCCCGGTTTCCCGGGATGATCCCGGCTCAGGGCGCGCTCCCACAGCTTTGGGCAGAGCGGGCTGGGGATGGGGAGCCCAGGGAGGGGCTCCAGGGCTGCTCCAGAGCTCCTCCACGGCTCCTCCACATCTCCTCCAGGGCTCCTCCAGGGCTCCTCCACGGCTCCTCCACATCTCCTCCACGGCTCCTCCAGGGCTCCTCCAGGGCTCCTCCAGGCTCCTCCAGAGCTCCTCCAGAGCTCCTCCACGGCTCCTCCACATCTCCTCCAGAGCTCCTCCAGAGCTCCTCCACGGCTCCTCCAGGGCTCCTTCAGGGCTCCTCCAGGGCTCCTCCAGGGCTCCGGCCCCAGCCCCAAGCGGCTCCAGAACGTTCCGAGCCCCGGGAAACGGCCAAAGAATGTCAAGCCACGGGGCGGCTGCTCCTCCTGCATCGCGGAGCTGGGGTGTAGCTTGTNCTCCTCCAGGGCTCCTCCAGGGCTCCTCCACGGCTCCTCCATGGCTCCTCCAGGGCTCCTCCAGGGCTCCTCCAGAGCTCCTCCAGAGCTCCTCCAGAGCTCCTCCAGGGCTCCTCCAGGGCTCCTCCAGGGCTCCTCCAGGGCTCCGGCCCCAGCCCCGAGCGGCTCCAGAACGTTCCGAGCCCCGGGAAACGGCCAAAGAATGTCAAGCCACGGGGCGGCTGCTCCTCCTGCATCGCGGAGCTGGGGTGTAGCCTGTGAGTAACTCACAGCAGCCGCTGTGTAACCTGTGAGTAACTCACAGCCACTGCTGTGCAACCTGTAACAGCCACTGTGTAACCTGAGTGACTCACAGCCACTGTGTAACCTGTGAGTAACTCACAGCACCTGCTGTGTAACCTGTGAGTAACAGCCACTGTGTAACCTGTGGGTAACTCACAGCCGCTGTGTAACCTGTAACAGCCACTGTGTAACCTGTGACTCACAGCCATTGTGTAACCTGTGAGTAACTCACAGCACCCGCTGTGTAACCTGAGTGACTCACAGCCACTGTGTAACCTGTGAGTAACTCACGTCAGCCGCTGTGTAACCTGTGAGTAACTCACAGCAACTGCTGTGCAACCTGTGAGCAACAACCTGTGACTCACAGCCGCTGTGTAACCTGTAACAGCCACTGTGTAACCTGTGAGTAACTCACAGCACCTGCTGTGTAACCTGTGAGTAACAGCCACTGTGTAACCTGTGGGTAACTCACAGCCGCTGTGTAACCTGTAACAGCCACTGTGTAACCTGTGAGTGACTCACAGCCACTGTGTAACCTGTGAGTAACTCACAGTCGCTGCTGTGTAACCTGTGAGTAACAGCCACTGTGTAACCTGTAACTCACAGCGGCCACTGTGAATAACTCACAGCAGCCACAGTGAAACCTGTAAGTCACAGCCGCTGTGTAACCTGAGTAACAGCCGCTGTGCAGCCTGTGAGTAACTCACAACCTGTAACTCACAGCCGCTGTGCAGCCTGTGAGTAACTCACAACCTGTAATTCACAGCCCCTGTGCAACCTCACAGCAGCCACTGTGTAACCTGAGTAATTCACAGCAGCCGCTGTGTAACCTGTGAGTAACTCGCAGCCACTGTGTAACCTGTGAGTAACTCACAGCCGCTGTGTAACCTGTGAGTAACTCACAGCCACTGTGTAACCTGTGAGTAACTCACGAGCTGTGAGTACCTCCCAGCGCAGGGCACCCAAAGCTATGCAACACCCAAAGGCTTCTCCTCCCACCACAGCCATCATTCCTTCACCTGTCCCAGCTCTCCACAGACTCTTCCCAGGAAACTCCGTGCTTGGGGTTTCATCCCAGCCTGGATTTTCCCTGGATGATGGATCCCAGGGCCGGGTCCCTCTGGCTCTCGGGTGTGAAATAGAAATCATGTTTTTATGATTTTTTCTTTTTTTTTTTTTTGGTAAATCTTTACTCTTTTTACACCTTGTTTTTGTAAGCTGAAGTTTCTTATTAAAAAAAAAAAAAAACAAAGAGAAAAAATGAAGAAATCCCAGTGGGTTGTTATTCCATAAACTTTAATAAACATCTGGGGGTGGGGGGTACAGCAGGAAATTCCATGTACATCCTCGAGGAAACAATTCCTGAAGGGATGAATCAATGGGAAACCAAATTCTCCCTCTATTAAACCTTTTGTCCTGCTCCAGGCAGGACAGGTGGGATCAGAGCAGCTCCGGGTGGGATCAGAGCAGCTCCAGGAGGGATCAGGAGCTCCGGGTGGGATCAGAGCAGCTCCGGGTGGGATCAGGAGCTCCGGGTGGGATCAGAGCAGCTCCAGGAGGGATCAGAGCAGCTCCAGGAGGGATCAGAGCAGCTCCAGGAGGGATCAGAGCAGCTCCGGGTGGGATCAGAGCAGCTCCAGGAGGGATTAGAGCAGCTCCAGGAGGGATCAGAGCAGCTCCGGGTGGGATCAGAGCAGCTCCGGGTGGGATCAGAGCAGCTCCGGGTGGGATCAGAGCAGCTCCAGGAGGGATCAGAGCAGCTCCAGGTGGGATCAGAGCAGCTCCAGGAGGGATCAGAGCAGCTCCAGGAGGGATCAGGAGCTCCGGGTGGGATCAGAGCAGCTCCAGGAGGGATCAGAGCAGCTCCAGGAGGGATCAGAGCAGCCCCACGGCTCCAGTCCTGGTGGGAGGGTGAGCTCTGCTCCCGGCAGCTCCGGCTCCTTCCTGGGACAGGGATTCAGCAGCGTCAGGGGAGCTGGTTCTGCTTTACTCTGTGTGAAGAGGGGCTTCTGTGGGGTGTGGGGCCCCTGGGGTGGGCTCAGCCCCAATTTGTGTCACCTCACGTGGTGACAGCGCTGTCCTGCGGGCTCAGGGTGAGTCTGAGGCCTCAGAGGGCAGCAACACCACCCAAGGGAGGGCTGGATTTGGGAGATTTAAAATGGATATTGGGAAAGGTTCTTCCTCCAGAGGGATTTGGGGCACATTCCCAGAGCTGCAAGAGTGTTTGGACACCTCTCCACGGATGCCCAGGGTGGGATTTTGGGGGTCTGTGCATGGCCAGGAGCTGGATTTGATCCCTGTGGGTCTCCTCCAGCTCAGGATATTCCCTGATCCCACCCCCACGGAGCCCTCCCCGAGGACTGACCGCTGCTACGGGACGGGCTGCGGGGCCATCAGGTCGATGTCCGTCAGGTTCCGGGCGACCCAGACGCCGGCGGCGAACAGCCCCAGGTTCACCAGCAGGTTCCTGGAACAGGAAAATCCCACAAGCACTGAGGCTGGAAATGACTTCAGCCCATCCAAGCTGTGCCCCGTGCCCACCTTGTCCCCACCCTGAGCCCTGAGTGCCACCTCCAGCTGCCACCTCCAGGGACGGGGACTCCAAACCTCCCTGGCCACTTCCAAGGCCTGGCTGCCCTTTCCAT